CCAAGTCTAGCAGAGTGTCACATTTGGTTGGCCCATGCACCTTCTGAGTCAGGAAGACCTCCTTGACACAGGTCAGGAAGGTTTGCACCTGATCCAACTTGGCTAAGTGTTCCTCCCAGAAGATGTCTGGGTAATTAAAATTGCCCATGATGACCATGTCACATGCACAAGAGGCCTCAGTCAACTCTCAGGTGAACTCCAGGTTGAATTCCTCCCCCTGGTTTGGTGATCTGTAGTATATACCTACAGTTACGTCTCTCTCACCACACCTCCCCCCCAGCAATTTAATTCAGAGGGTTTCAAGCTGTTCATTTTTGGAGCTGATGTTGGCCTCCGAAGAGGTATAATGCTCTTTCACATAAAGAGCAATGCCACCACCTTTCTTCTCTACCTGGTCCCTTCTATTCAAAGTGTAGCCCTATATATCTATGCTTCAGTCATGTGAGGAGTTCTGCCAGGTCTCTGTAATCCCTACTAGATCATAATGCCCACTGGAGAGTAGGAGGGCTAGCTCCTCCTGCTTGTTTTCCATGCTCCTGGCATTAGTATGTAGGCACCTGAGTCCTCCTACTGAGGCCCTCATCTTCCTTTCCCACTGATGGAGAACTATTCCCTCAGCTCCCACAAGAGTGGCTCTTCCAGTGTCCCTATCTACAGGGCTTACTTGTATGTTGGTCCCTGGACATGTGTGAATTTGTGTATCCCCATAGTTTCATAGTTGGTAGGGTCGGGACGGACCTGAGCAGATCATCAAGTCCGACCCCCTGCCCTGGGTAGGAAAGAATACTGGGGTCAAACGACCCTGGCAAGGTGTCTGTCTAACCTCCTTTTGAAGACCCCCAGGGTAGGAGCCAGCACCACTTCCCTTGGAAGTTGGTTCCAGATCCTAGCCGCCCTGACTGTGAAGTAGTGCCTCCTGATGTCTAGCCTGAACCTACTCTCAGTCAGCTTATGGCCGTTATTCCTTGTTACTTCCAGTAGTGCTCAGGGGAACAGGGACTTTCCCATTGCCTGCTGACCCTCTGACTAGTTTGTAACAGGCCACTAGATCCCCCCTCAGCCTTCTCTTGTGGAGGCTGAACAGATTCGGGTCCCTTAGCCTCTCCTCATAGGGCCTGCCCTGCTGCCCCCTGATCATGTGGGTGGCCCTCCTCTGAACCCTCTCAATGCTGTCCACATCCCTCCTGAAGTGTGGCTCCCAGAACTGGATGCAGTACTCCAACTATGGCCTGACCAGTGTCGCATAGAGGGGGAGGATCACCTCACTGGACCTGCTCGAGATGCATCTGTGGATGCATGACAAAGCATGGTTGGCCTTCCTGACCGTGTCCCCACACTGTCGGCCCATGTTCATTTTGGCATCAATAATGATTCCAAGTTCCTTTTCTGCCTCTGTGCCGACAAGAAGGGAGTTCCCCAGCCTGTAGGTATGCTGCTGGTTCTTCCTCCCCAGGTGCAGCACCTTGCACTTGTCAGTGTTGAA